CCAGATAAGAGATTTTTGTGGGCTTTTTCATGTTCAGTATTTTAAGATATTATCATTGAAAATGATTTTTGTTTGCTATCAGCTAAATCAAATATATAAACTTAGATCATAAGATGGCTTCTAGTATTTCTTTTGTTCTTTTTTAAAAAAATTTTAATGTTTTATTTCTGAGAGAGAGAGCATGAGCAGGGGAGGGTCAGAGAGAGAGGGAGACACAGAATCTGAAGCAGGCTCCAGGCTCTGAGCTACCTGTCAGCGCAGAACCCGACACAGGGCTCAAACCCACGAACTGTGAGAACATGACCTGAGCCAAAGTCGGACGCTTAACTGACTGAGCCACCCAGGCGCCCCATAGTATTTCTTTTGTTCTTAAATCCTCTGTTAGTAATGCATAAAAGCCAACAACTCAAAATGTGTTCTTAAAAAAAGGTTTGTTGGAGCACCTGGGTGGCTCAGTCAGTTGAGCATCAGACTCTTGATTTCAGCTCAAGTCATGATCCCAGGGTTGTGGGATTGAGCCCCATGTCAGGCTCTGCACTGAGCATGAAGCCTGCTTAAGATTCTCTCTCTCTCTCTCTCTCTCTCTCTCTCTCCCACCACCCCCCTTGGCCCTTCCCCTGCTCACCCTCTCTCTTGCTCTTTCTCTAAAATAAAAAATAAAAATAAATAAATATATATAAAATAAAAATAAACAAATTTTTTTTTAAAAAAATGTTTGTTGACTCCTTCAGACAGAATCCATAGTTTCCTACTTTGGACTCCAACAGTACCCCATACCTCTCTCTGCCTGTTGTGTTTAAGGGCCAGCATGTACATGCCCGTGTTCTTCCCTAGTCTGGCAGCTTCTCCAGAAGTGGGATTACTCACTTGTGAATCTCAGCCACTTAGCCAATGGCAGATGGGAAATAGGGTTAAAGTCATTTTTGGTGAGACTGCTTTGAATCTGTTAGTTTCAGCAGCAAAAAGTGAGAGAAAAAAACCACCCACATGAGAAAAGACAAATGTGGCTTCTTGATGGTAGCAAACTGCAACAATTTGCAGGGACATAGCTCCTTAGGGGCATGCCGAAATGTTTAAGGAAAATACGTCTGTAAGCACAGACACTCTAGTAACCATAATTCCACCTTACTGCAGAACACACGGAAGAAAAGCAAAAACCACAGTGCTGAGAAGTCAAAATGTACAAAAACTGGGAGAATTAAATTTTGCATTTAATAGAGAAACAGATGACTTAACATGACAGCAGTTTGGAAACATGGAATAATTTCCATTCAGTAATGTGTACTTTTTATCAACGCTCATGCATATCAAAGCTAGTGCCAGGGAAGAATAAAGCTACATGAAATAATTTATCTTCTTATAAACCTTTGAATTCAAACATCCTGCTGATAACCTGAGATTCTTAGTTAATAGTTCCAGCCATGTCCCAACACTTACAACACCCGTGACATGCAGAGCCCCAGAACTACATAGACTTCGAGAAGGCTGTATGTGAAGGTGGTTGGGTTTGCTCTTGCCCTCGATTGTCAGTTTTCATGGCCAGTTGAAGACTGCCCAGTCTTTCGGTTTTGTGTCTTCATAACATGGGTCAGTTCACTGTTAATTGTAAATAGTAGCAAAGGGTACAGATTAGGAATGTTGTCTCTGGATTTATACCCCAGCTTTACAACCCCCTAATTGTTTGAACTTAAACAACTTAATCTCACTATGCCTCAGTTTCCTTTTCTATAAAATGAGGATGAAATACCTTCCTCAGTATTGTTGTAAGGATTCAGTGAGTACAGAGCTTAGCATGTTTTTCTCCATTTTTAGCAGCTCATTATTATATGTTGTGATGGTTATTTGTTTTGATACATCAATATTATACTAGTACACATTCTTAACTACCATGCTTTGGTGTCTAGTTCTTTCTTTCTTTCTGCTTCACCTGACTCCCCCCACCCCCACTAGTACCTCCACACACCCCATACTTTTTCTGTTTCCTGTTTAGGGTTACAGATGCAGGGTCTTCTGTCCAGATCTATTGCCTGTGACTTATAATCTATAGGGACAGAAAGTATCTGGAGCCAGTGTATGTAAAGGCATTAGACTAACCACATGTTTTACTTGTAAGCCAAGATTTTCATAGAAGGCCACCCTTCAGTGAATATAGCCTAAAGAAGAACTTTAAAAAACCCCAAACAAAAAGACCTTACCCCACCATTACTTAGAGATTTAATGAAATACAGCCCACTCTAAATGGTTACTGGTCAGGGAGGATTGAGAAATAAAATTAGATGAACCTGTGGAAAATCTGGAATCCTCGCTGGTGATGCTGTCGTTACACTTTGTGTTAAGGTTCCTAGAACATGCCTTGGGTAGCTTAACTACGTGGACATGACTTGTCTCTGGACGCCCTGAAGTAGGTATAAGGCCTTTGTAACCCATGTGTGTTATTCCTGCTCAACTGTCCACACCTTCATTCATGAGGGAAGGGATGGTGTTTCCCAGCTCATGAAGCTGGACTTCTCAGTGGAGACATTTCAAGTTGTAATTCCCTCACTGAAAAGCAAGTGCTAAGCTCTCCATAGAAATAGTCTTTGAAATCTGAGGCAGAAAGCAGCAGCAGGTGCACACAGTGATGAGCCCTCCTTGTCAGAGACCCCTGGGGAGCTCTTTCTGTCTTGCTCTCCCTCTAGTTTGTCTTTCTGTGGTAGGGCTTTTCACAAGACTTCTTCAGCTTGGGCTGGTGTGAGGGCTCCCAGAGTACCTTTCTTGGCATTCAGAAATCTTCAGGCAAGAGAGTGCTCTGGGGTAGAGGAACACACATGACCGACACAGGCCCAAGTCAGTACTTCGAGATTTCTCAGCAGTTTCATACTCTGAGGCAGTGCTGAACCACTGGGCATGATGACTGTTCTGTAGACTACTTCCTGGATATAATTTAAAAGATTCTTGCGGGTAAGGATAGGTTATGCTTTAGAGAGAACCTAAAGTTATTAGCCCTATTGGTAGGTAATTAATGTCTGCAGGCAGGGTGCTGCTGGCTAGAATCATCACCCTCTGCTGATGGGGTTGCAGTATGGCAGAGCTGTAGAGAGACTGCTTCCCAGGGGAAAGAACCAGGCAGCTGCCAGATTCCCTGTTCTCCAGCAACAGAAAGGACTTCATATGCCGCTAGGAGCCGCGACAAAATGAAGTTTGGTTTTAGAGGCTTTGGAGTACCCAGAAATGGATGTAGTAGGCAAAACACAGGAGAACAGGAAGAAGTGAGCAGCCTGTGAGCCACAGATCCTCTGCAGCTTTCAAAACTAAAACCTCAGGTGACACCCAGAAAAATCTCTATGAAGTAATTCAGAGTTAAGTCTGCAACTCAAAGTTTAGTTGTTAGTAACTGACTCTCTGGAGTACTGTCTGCATACTTTCCTCTTTAAAGTATTGTTTTAACTGTTCCTTTAAATATTGGTTAAGTCATAAGGTTATTGTAATAAAGACTGGTGTCTTTATCAGAGGAGTCTCCCTTGCCCACATTCAGATAATGGGTTTAATGACTATCAGAGCAAAATCACCTAGTGGGCAATAACACACGTGTCCCCCATCGTCTTCCCAACACACCTTGACTGCTCCCATCTCTCTTTGCCATTGTAGCCAGAGTACGTGACCTACAGTGCAGACGTGATCATGTCACTTCATTGTGTGAAGTTTTTTGTTAGCTCCTGTGAACTTCAGGTTCCCCCCACTCACTATCCAAAAGTAGAGCATTCCTATAAAACCTTTCAGAAGCTGAAATGGTGTAAAGCAAAGAAGTAATTACCTTATTTTATATGGAAAATTTTTTGAGTGTTCCCAGACCCAAAAATTAACCTCGCTTAGGCTTTTCAGATACTTTAGGACACATCTTGCTAGTGGATGCCCAAAATAAGTCCAGGTAAAGCCCACATGCTTGCAGACACAGTTCAAAGCTATAGTGGCTTGATGTGAAATGTAGTTCCGGGGGAAGGAGCTTGGTGGAGCCACTCTCCTTCTTCCAGGTGCGTGCTGCCTCTGGACCTGCCCACTGCCAAACACACACTGAACACAATTTCCACTTTTAGAATTATTCATAAAGATGAAAATCCTCTTTGGATGTCTTTCAGTTAATGAAAACAGGTACTAATATAGGTGTTTCATAAAAGCAAAGTGGCATAACATGAACTTTGGAAAAGCAGGAGACACCTGTATGTGCATATATACGTATGTACCTATACACATATACACATTCATGTATCTACATACATACACATGTTGGTGCGTGTGCATGCGTGTATGTGTGTGTGTGTGTGTGTGTGTGTGTGTGTGTGTGTGTATCATGGGCAAGTACAGATCAGTATCCTGTAAGGGTCTTAGTAATGTCTTAAAGGAGGCTTTGTCTCCATGCAGCTGCTTGCTGGCACCTGAAGCATGATTAGATCACCTGCCCACTGAATCTGCATACTCTTCTACTGTGTGGAGCCTGTTCATAGAAATTTTACAGACCCTCTCAGGATTCTGGTCATTTTCATCTGCTTCATTGCGAAGCTTGAGTCTCTCTGAATCCCTTTTCGATGCATTCAACAAACATATCCTTATGCCTACCATGTGGCTGCATGAAAACTGTGAAGTGTGTATGAATGGTCACTAGCCCCTCAGTGATTATGTCTCAGTAACTCTTCCTTGTCCTCCGCAGCCATCTCTCCCATGTCCATCCCACCCTCGATATACACAACTTTGCTGGCACATCCTTTTAGTGAATCATGAGGGATCTGTCACTAAGACTCTCCCTCTGTGGGCATGGGTTTCTTTCCATCAGATGCCTCTTGATTCACTCTCATAAACCATCAAGGTCACTTCCTTAAGAGAGCCATGGTCTGGAGGGAGACTTGAGGCTGTCTTATAGGGCCAGGTACAGGGTCTGTCACCAAAGCCTTGCAGGTTGATGGTATCATGTTTCTGTTGGCAGAGGAAAGTGTTTTCTAATAAAATGTTTTTGTCTTGTGTTTTAGCTTACGTTTTACTATGGTACTATAGATGCTTGGTGTCCAAAGAAATACTATGAAGACATAAAGAGAGATTTTCCAGAAGGAGATATTCGACTGTGCGAGAAAAATTTACGTCATGCTTTTATCCTCCATTCTTCTGGAGAAATGGCTGACATGATAGCTGACTGGCTAAAGGATGATCTGTCCAAAATATAAGTCCTGACACGTGGAAGCATCACTGACCGCTAGTACATAGGAGTGGTAGGTGTGCTGTCTCTTAGTAGTGTACTTAGTAGGTAAGTGTCCAGTGTTAATGTTTGATGCTAGAAGACTTGGCTTGATGTCAGCTCCACACTAGCTCCCCATACTACAGGCTGACATAAGCACAATTGATGAAATATGCCATAGATTTAACAGAATCATTTTCCAAGACTCAGGGAACACAGTGGTCAGTGATGTAAACAAGACCTCTTCTGTTTGCACGGGATACCCATTTGGCACTGGGCAGTTTATTCTAGTGGGCAGGATCCTTGCAGACAAAAGGAGGTCTAAATTTCGTTGGTTTTAATTGAGTTACCTTGTAGAATAGGCTCTCCTAGAGGAAATTATGAAAATATAAAAGAGATCAGTGAATGCTAAGTCAGATATGTAAGTGTATATGATTATGAGGACACACATTCCAGTAGCAGAAAGTGATAACTGGGGGGTCTTGGCAGTGGACCTGGGTCTCCCTTAAGCACAGAAGCTAAAGATCAGCTCAGACTAACCTTGTACGGGTCTGTCTGAGGTCATCAGAATCCAACTGGATGCCAGGCAGCCTGCAGGAGCTCCCACACACACCCCAACCCCCAGCTCCTACCCATTACTACCTTGCATCGTGTCACAGGCCCCACAGCAGGGCCAACATCAGGGGACGTACTGCTTGTCTCTATCTCTAAAAAGCTTCCCTGCGGAGGGAGACTTCCTGATCTTCCTGCATTGCACAGAGGATAAAGTTCACCAGACATTCCGCTGTTGAAGGAACCCAGTAAGAGCTGTTGAAGGATCCTGACTGTTCCTCCTGCCACAAGACAACCAGCAAGCTCTGGGCCAAGTCTGCCAGGTTGTGAGCTCGCTGCAGGCCCCTCTTCTGAAGGGCCCGGATGGGGAGGCCCTGGGTTGTCCCAAAGCTGGTCTATCCCTGCCTCGTGGACTTGCCTTTTCTGCGATTTTTTTCTAATAAAACTACACTGAGGGCCAGCCATGAGCTAAATACTGTGCTAGGCATTGAGGATAGAGTTCTTAGCCATGCCATGATTCTTTTCTTCTTCTGAAAATCATCTAGTAAGTAATTTTTGAGAGGGCATCTTTCAGTTGCTGAATAGAGAATGACCATAAATGAGTTCTACATTTCTGCCTTGGCTTTGTGAGTTGGAAAGAAACTGTTTTACTAATGCACCAAAACAAGCCATTCAATTATGTGAATTCACCTTCTCTGGATGCCTTGAGGACCAGTAGAGAAGAAGCTTGCTCTCCTGCCTATAGTAGGCTCACGATATTTCTGTCTTCCCTAAAATGACCCAATCCTGGGATCCTAGGAACCAGTAAATCCCACTGACAGCAGTAATAGTTGACAGTTGATCAAAAACATTCAGTTTTCTCCTAGAGGGACCCTCATGGCGTTATCATTCCTAAAGAACGATAGAATGCTGTCCTTCCTTTCAAAGCCTAAAGCCCCCTGATGAAAGCTCTGGCTCTGATATGCTGCCAACCCAGTGGTGAGGGGTGAACGAGTTACTGTCCCTTGGCACAGCTTCTGCATTGGAGCAAATGACTTCTCAGAGGGGAAGAGCCAAGCCCCAGGCAAGGAGTGCTCCTGGCCCTGGAGATAAACCAGGAGACACACAGGCCACTGGCACAGGGCTACACATGAAATCCTGATTGGCGGCTGTGTGAGTGGGCCTTCCAGAAATCTGGTGTTAGAAGCTCAGATTCACAGCTCTGAAGTGCCTTGCACATAGGAGATGCTCATAGTGCTAACTTGAAGCCCTTGACCAAGTCCTGGGTGAATCACACCTATTCAGAAAATAACATCCCCAGCTGTTCTTTCAACATTAGTTTGTATTACTCCGTCCACATGTATGGCATTATGTCTTACTGCAGTTTTTCAGAGCTTTAAAAAAATGATAAAAAATAGAAGAAGATACTGGCGTGTTTTCTGTTTATCATCTAATCACCAAATGAATTTTCAAAATAAATGTTTTACCAGCACTTCGGACTGCCTGGTCTGACCTCTGTGTGGGGGACAGGGGGCAGAGGGTGCATGGTACAGCCTGAACAGTCCTCCTGAGTTAGACTTGGACCCAAGTCTCTCTGTTGAATTTTCTCAATACTCCCTTTAGAGAAGGAAGAATCTAATTTCAGGAGATTGAAGTTCATTTTATTTCCTTAGGAAGCAAACACAGTACTTCATGTTTCCATGCATGTGTGTGACGTGGTAAGGTATGCAGGGACTCTGGAGGCTTCATCATCTGTGTGATTTTTAGACAACTTTCTCTAATTTCTCCATACATCAATGTCCTCACTTATAGGATTAAAAATAATGTGTACCTCATTGTTGGAAAAATTAAATGGGATGGTAAAATTAAAGCATTTAGCACAATTCTTGACCAAGAGGATCTTCTTAATAAAGATTGGCTATAGTAATAATTATTATTATTAAACATCATTGTCATAAATAAACAAAAGACAAAATTGCTAAGCAGTAGATGAAATCCATTTTCCAGAAGCATTTCAGCCACATGAATGGTCCCTGTCAAAGATTTCACTTCAGGGATGCCTGGATGACTCAGTCCGTTAAGTACCTGACTTCAGCTCAGATCATGATCATGCGTTCATGGGTTCCAGCTCCGCGTCAGGCTCTGTGCTGACAGCTCCGAGCCTGGAACCTGCTTCAGATTCTGCGTCTCCTTCTCTCTCTGCCTCTCCCCCACTCACATTCTGTGTGTGTGTCTTTCTCTCTTCTCTCAAAAATAAACAGTAAAAAAAAAAAAAAAAAAAAAAAAGATATTGCTTTATATGGGTTTATCTAATGCTGAGTGAAAAGTCTACACTGGAGTCATGACCAGTGCCCATGGTCAGGCTGTGCTGGGCCAGGGGACAGAGAGAATCTTCAGAGGGAGCTCCTGGGGCTCTCATATTCAAGGTGGCCAGGGACCTCTCACTACCCACTTCTCCACCCAACCCTTGGAGAGCCAGGGGCCTCTGAACACTTGATTTTTTTTCTTCACTCTACATCATATTAAAATTAATTCCATATTAAAGGAGACTAAAAAGACATGGTAACTTAGTGCAGTGCTTCGTTCGGGATTAGATACTTTCTTATACAAAACATTGTTGGGAAGTTTGCACAACTTGACTGGGATCTACAGATGAACTGGGAGTAAGAGATCTGTGTTCATTTTCTAGAGAGTAAGGTTCTTTGGGGCGCATGCGTGGCTCAGTCGGTTAAGCATCCAACTCTTGGTTTTGGCTCTGGTCATGATCTCACATTTTGTGAGTTCGAGCCCTGCATCGGGCTCTGCACTGATGGGATTTTAGATTTGAGTAGGTTTTTGTTTGTTTTTGATGGGGTTAATTGAGGTCATGCATATAGCATCTAGCACCCTGTCTGGCTTATGGTAGATGCTCTGCAAAGTGGTACCTAAGAGAAAAGGCTAGCAAACTTGTGCTTCTTTTACTGTGTCTTCTCTTTGGTGCAGCGAAGGACCCGGTGACATCTCAGCTTCTTCATTGTTTCACCCAGCCTGCAACTGGATTCTTGCAGTCTTAGCATTTTCGGTTCATACTGGGAGGGGGAGAGGGGAGCAGTTGCCTGCCCTTCCCGCCCCCCCCCCACGCTAATCTTTCTGGCCCTGGGCCACACAGTCCTCCCACACAGAGCACAGGATGCAGGATGCTCCAACAGCACCTTGAGGACCTTACGGTAAATTTAGAAAAGATGCAGGAAGCAAAACATTCCTTAATGTGAGACATCATCTTTGTTCCTGGCCTTCTCTTGCAGGAGAAAAGAGGGCATACTTGGGCCACTCTGTCCCATGGGAGGTGGGGTATAAAGAGAGGTCAGTAGGGGCACCTGAGTGACTCAGCTAAACATCTGACTTTGGCTCAGGTCATGATTTGTGGGTTCAAGCCCCACGTCAGGCTCTGTGCTGACAGTTCAGAGCCTGGAGCCTGCTTTGAATTCTGTGTCTCCCTCTCTCTGCCCCTCCCGTGCTCATGCTGTGTCTCTCTTTGTCTCTCTCCTTCAGACATAAAGTAAAGATTAAAAAATTTTTAGGAGGGGGCGCCTGGGTGGCTCGGTCGGTTAAGCGTCCGACTTTCGCTTAGGTCATGATCTCGCGGTTTGTGGGTTCGAGCCCCGCGTCAGGCTCTGTGCTGACTGCCAGCTCAGAACCTGGAGCCTGTTTCAGTCTGTGACACCCTCTCTCTCTGACCCTCCNTTTTTTTACAAATAGTTTATTGTCAAATTAGTTTCTACATAACACTCAGTGCTTATCCCCAAAGTGCCCTCCTCCATGCCCATCCCCCCCTCCCCCCCACATCCATCAGTCCTCAGTTTTTGTCAGCATTCAAGAGTCTCTCATGGTTTGCCGGGCTCTGTGCTGACTGCCAGCTCAGAACCTGGAGCCTGTTTCAGTCTGTGACACCCTCTCTCTCTGACCCTCCCCTGCTCACGCTGTCGCTCACGCTGTCTCTCTCTCTCTCTCTCCTAGAAATAAATAAAAATATTAAAAAAAAAAAATTTTTTAGGAGGCGCCTGGGTGGCTCAGTCGGTTAAACATCCGACTTCGGCTCAGGTCATGATCTCACAGTCCATGAGTTCGAGCCCTGCATCAGGCTCTGTGCTGACAGCTCAGAGCCTGGAGCCTTCTTCAGATTGTGTCTCCCTCTCTTTCCGCCCCTCCCCTGTTCATACTCTGTCTCTTTGTCTCTCAAAAGTAAACATTAAACAAATATTTTTAAAATTTTGTTTTTTAAATAAATAAACAGGAGTCGGTGGCTGGAACTAAGTGTGCTCTGTGAACACATCTGTCTCTGAGGTCTTAAGGCTGAAGCTCTCTGGCAGGAGTCCATTTCCAAAGGAACTGAGATTCCTGCTTGTTGAGCCCAATAGAGATGTAGGTGAGCGACGGCTCTGGGCCATGTGGGGAGCCGCTGTGGGATATGGGTCTGGCCTCTCCCGCCAGACTGAATGCCCTGGGCTGCCGTAGTTCTGTGAGGAGGAAACCGCCAGAGGGAGAGAAGAGGAGGCTGCTCCTAGTGCCAGAAGGACAAGTGGGAGAGAGGAGAGAGCCCGCAGAAAGAAGC